TTTATATTTCATAGCAGGGTTACAGGTGTGTTTGGCACAGTTCGTAGCACACTGTCACCCAACCCTTAAAATGGAGTCACAAAAAAGCAGCGAGGAGGAAGATGACCCACCCCGCTTTGGTATTCAGTTTTTCTAGGTGGAACAGGATCGTGCTTAGACGCCTACATCTACTTATGTACCTTATAGGACAGTATCAGGCTCCCAGGCTTCGGCACAAGGAACCTCTGATTTCAATTGCTCTGCACCGTTCACATGCAAAACCCAGCACCCAAAGAGGCCGGTCCTGTAGCTCCGCATGTGCCGGCCCTTCCAAGAAATAAATCGCCGGCCGGACTTGAGGTTTGACGGCTGGCCCCTGAGCTCTACCTCTGAGACATCTCGTCTTCTAGAAGTGAAGGAAACTCTTGACTATTGTGCAATGTATATTTTAAAAGGAAAAAACTTGATATTTTGGAGGGGTGGGCGATGAGAGAGCCGAATCCCTGGTTCTGCTTTTACTCACTCTTCTATCCAGATCTGCAAACCTTTTTCCTTCTCAAATGGGAACTAGTCAGAAGAATAAGTTCACACTCGGTTTGGTTTTTTTTTTGGGCTCCTGACAAAGCAATATTCTCCAGGCCAGTTGGAATCTGGAAAAATACACTTACTCAGCCGAGCCACCACGACTCCAATAACAATTATAAAATGTCCAATAAAACTTGCATGTAATGTCAATTCAAATCTTGAAAAGCAGAATTAAGTGGTATATCAACATTAAACTTTATTGCTTCCTTTGCAGAGCAGAAGTATTGTCAATAAAAGTCATTCTGAATGAAGAAAAGGGCAGTAAATATTAAATAAACAGGTTTTTGTTGAAATGCTATAAATGCTCCAGAGCTGCATATTACAGTGGGACCCTTTTTTCCCCTAACAGACTCCCCTCGTGATAGAAATAAGCCAGTAATTGCAAACTATCGATAAAGTGCCAATTAAAGGGTGGTTCGATGCACACGTTTACAATATGTCATTATGAGCTGTTCTTGTACGTGGTTTACTCTTGCAGATCCCAGTGGCTCCTACTTGACTTCTGCAACACGCCAACAATTATGTTGGTCATTCGGGCGGGCCCCCGAGAAACCGTTAGCACGGCCACTGGCTGTATCAGGACGGCTGCAGTTAGACGGGTCATCGCCAGACTTCATTCGGAGGCAACAACGTCTTTGTTTCAACACTCAACATAAATCTCATACTCAAGAGGACCTCAATGATGCAGTGACCCGAAAACCAAGAGGGGGAGAATCGAACTGGTTATTCTCTTTTGGGAGTGAGGTTAGGGGATTTTAGAAGACAAGAATGAACGTCGTGCAAAGCCACTGCAAAATCCCAGCAGAACAATGCAGGATTTCTTCCTAAATTGGAAGCTCAAATTAGGTCCAAATATGGGCCCGTCACTGAATACACAAACCCACGGTGATTTCACCCATGCAACCGGGCTGTCACCATTGAAAAAACTAAGAATGAGAGACAAAGCGGCACTGGAAGGGACCTTAGGAGGTTTAACACATACATCGCAGTATGCTACTAGGTTTTTGGAAACAACAGCATTCAGCTTGTGCATGCACTATAACCCCCAGGTCCCTTTTCTGACGTACTGCAGCCTCGCCAGGCAGCCGCCAATTTGTATTTGTGCCTCTAGCCCCTCCATGCTCAGTGCAGTGCTTTGCACTTGTCCGTATTAATTTAACCCGATTTATTGTAGAACATTTTCCTAATTTATCAAGTTCATTTTGAATCCTGGTTCTGGTCTCCAAAGTGTCTGCTACCCCAGGCAGATTGTGCACTCAATCCCATCCTCCGGTGCCAGATTTCAGATGCGTTCCTGGGGACCATGCTCCATGCAGTCTCCCAGTCTCACATCAAGCCACTGAAGACGACTCTTTGAGCACGACGACAGGTTATGCACCGACCATGCAGTCATTTCACAAAGACTGTTTGCTTATGGGAATATCATGGGACACGGTGTCAAAAAGCATTGCTAAAGTCTTCCACTACTCTCCCCAAAATCTGTCACCTTGTCATAGATGGAAATCCAGTTGGTTGCATGGCAAACCCATGCTCGCTGCTCCTTGACGTCTTGTTCTCCTGCTTAGGAGATTCCCTGATGATACACTGCAATATTTTCTGAGTATTGCATTTAGTCTGACTGGTCTGTAATACCCTGGGATCTTTTTGTTCCCCCCTTTTCTTTTTTAATAATAATTAAAAAAAAGATGGGCGCTATCTTTGCCCTTTTCCAGTCTTCTGGGACCTCACCTGACCTCCAGGAGCTCCTAACGACAATAACCAGCAGTTCTGCAATGACCTCAGCCAATTCCTTGAATATTCTGGGATGAATCTCATCCGGCCCTGCTGACTGAAAAACATCCAGTCTGTGATCTTTTTTGTGAAGCCTGTGTAAATCTGGCTGATGTAACTGTAACGTCCTAAGGTTGCAGACACGAGAAGGCAGTCCAAAGCATTGCCTGGAGGCTGCATTCTTGTACAGTGCATGTGACAGGATATCATTCTTAAATCACTAACCAAGCCCCAGCTGATAAGCTCGTCTCATCCTCCTTGGGTTATCAATGTCACCATCTTTATAACCACCGGGCTTCAAAGGACACACAAAGGGTGGTTCTGCCGAGGGTGTAGGAGACGGGGCGTTTGCACGCAAGAGACCAAATGCGCAAGTAGGCACACTGGAGAAACTTCAACAGGAGAGAATGAGAGAGCCCCGTCTTGGAAAACCTTGATGTGGTTAATGCCCTCTCCTAGGTGAGGGATGTAGGTTGGGGAGAGGAATGAACTGAACCCAGGTCATTGAATCATAGATAATGAGGGGTGGAAGGGAGCTCAGGAGGTCACATCCAGTCCAAACCCTGCTCCAAGCAGGGCCAGCCCCTTTGTCTACCCGGGTCTTAAAAACCTCCAAAGGTGGAGACTCCAGCACCTCTCTGGGTAACCTGTTCCAGTGTGTCACCACCTTCCTAGTGAGAAAGTTTTTCCTAATATCCAACCTCAACTTCCCTTGCTGCAACTTGAGCCCATTGCTCCTTGTCCTGCCATCTGCCCCCGCTGAGACCAGTCCAGCTCCATCCTCTTTGCAGCCCCCCGGCAGGGAGGTGAAGGCTGCTATTCAATCCCCCTCGGTCTTCTCTTCTGCAGACTCAATCAGCCCAGTTCCCTCAGCCTCTCCTCACCAGTCATATCCCCCGGCCCCCAAACCATTTTTGTTGCCCTTCGCTGGACTCTCTCCAACTTGTCCACATCCCTTCGCAGTGGGGGGCCCACAGCTGGACAAAGGACTCCAGATGTGGCCTCCCCCGTGCTGAATAGAGGCGGAAGAATCACTGCCCTCCATCTGCTGGCAACGCTTCTACCCTTGTCACTGGTTTATAGGAGAAAAGGAGGTGGTGGCACCATCTTCTCCTTCAGCTGCTTTGTAAGAAGGAGCTTGCACATGCATGTCAGGGTTCAGGGTTATAAGCAGATACCTCCCTGCAGTCCAAATTGCAAGACAGCAGCAAAGCTTAAGACCCATGTCTCTTCTCAGCCACATATTAGCTTCACTGGATCTCCACTCAGCCTGTTGGCTTGCATGCATCTCATTCTTTAGCATCCCACTGTCCCTGTGCATTAGAGAAGGAGACACGGTCCCTAAACAAGGGCTACAAATGCCAGCAGCTAGCGAGGCATTCTGAATGCAGCCTAAGTCCCCTTTGCAGATCGAGCCCCAAGCCCCAAATTGAATCAGCCTTTTTTTCCTCCAATTGGTAGATCTGGATTAGTCAATGAAGAGACAGTCAAGCAGTCAACAAGACCACTTCCAGCTTGTTCTACTCCGACATGGACTTTGTTAGTAGATGACAATTTGCGAGAGTTTGGAGGGCCAAGACGAGACTTCATGAAGCCCCAGTGTGCTGCGGGCATACAATAAACTTGAACCAAAAGGGTGCACAAAGGAAACAAATGGGCCGATGGGCCTAGACAAATGAACCACGACTGGGGGGAAGAGCAAGGGGACATTCCAGCCTGAAGTTCATCATCTGCCTGCTTCCATGTCACATAATCTTTATTCATTTTGATCAACATTTTTGTGGCTTACCAAGAGAATTTCTACGCCGCGCTCCACTTTATGCATCACATGCATTGACAAAAGCAGCAACAGCTACAAAACAGGAGTTTCCTGATGCCGAAAATATGTTCAACCGATACTTAAGTGGGAATTTAATTTAAAAAAAAGAAAGTAAATTAAAAAAAAATGTAACCTTCCAAAACAAGCTAGCAACATTACTTCTCTCTGATTTTCTCTTTTCTGAATTTTCGACATGGTGATAGATTTTTCATTTTTGAGGATGGGGGGGATCGAGTCCCAAAAGACAAAATGCACCACCATGAACCGAAGCCGATCAAAACTGGCACAGCTGAGAAGTGAAACGAAAGCATTTCAAGTGATGATGAACAGCCTGCATTTTTCCTTAACAACTGAATTATAAACATTAAATCATTCTTGGGAAAATCCAACCTTGGTGGGGGGTTAGTTTTCCTGAATAAAATCTGGTTTGGACAGAGAGCAAAACTCACTCAGTTTTATCGTTTCCTTTCGCTGGAGCTGGGGTCCTATGACTTTCACAAAGGCAGTCCTTTAGTTTAAGCCTGACGTTAATTGACATCTTTTCCTGCAAGGTCAGTAATTACACAAACCTGATGTAGACAAGTCTCTGGGAAATGCTATGACAAATGTCTCTTCGTAAAGACATCACCAAAGAACGGTCAGTGCGTAATTCTGGACTGTCACCAACCCGGGCGGGATTCAAACCAGCGATCTAACCAAAACCATCCCGTTCTTCTGCAATCTGCATTACTGCGCATCCCCAGGGTTCGCACACTCATGCTGCAACACGCATCAAAAGGGAAGGCCTCGGGAACAACTGCTTGGCTAAAACAGGAGCATTATCAAAGCAAAACTGGGAAGGTTTTACCTGGAAAAGAATCTGCAAGATGCCGTTGAGGATGCACATGCGACGTCCCATGAAGATCAAGAAGGGCGCGATCAGCTCCACCAAATGATTGCATAAGGTCTCAAACTGGTGAAACCACCACGGCGACCAGTGCATGAAATAGGCAACTGGGTTGGGCACAGGTTGGGTCTGAAAGAGTCAAAAAAAGATGCATCATTTGGCATGGCCTCCCCGCTGCATAGAGCATCGCTCAGATGATTTATGGAGCCAGTTGGACAATGTTGATAGAAAGCTGCACCTGAAAAATGCCCATTTTCACTCGTTCCCCCCCAAAATACCTGACATGCTGTCTGCAAAGTTGTCATTCAAAAACTTTCCATTATTTCAACCACCACCCCGAAAAAAATCTGAAACTTTTTCTAGTTTTCTTTTGTTTCCATCAGGAAACGAACAACTTTCAGGAGAATTTTTAAATTTAAATCCCAATTTTTCCCACCAAAAATAATTAGCAATTTTTTTTTTACCCACACTAATTATTTAGGCATCATTCCTCTGCTTTAACACTTCACACTTACAACCTTTCATTGATAAATATTGAGGCATGTTATCCAAGCATCATAAAAACAGCGGCACAGAGAGAGAAACTGAGGCAAGGAGAGAGGAAATGATTTCCCACAGTCATGGAGCCAAGAAGCGAACCCAGATCTCAGGCTTCAACGTGGCAGTCCGCATCTCAGTGTGTTTAAAATTTAAACAAATTATCTATACAAACCCATCATTTAAGATGAAAAACATCCAGGCATGTGATGTTAACCTTGGGTACCCATCTGCTAACATTTGCAACAGTGCCAGTCTTATATCAACCTGCTTCTTCCCTTATTGATGCTCCAGATCTTCTATCCAGGGCAATCAAGCCCCAAATGCTGCAACCCCAATGAGAATTGCTACGAAGAAATCAGCAGCGGCAGCCCCAAGCAATGCCACAATTTATGCAAACAGCAACCAGTTAACGATTCACCTTAGCATGTCTAGCAAAAGCTCAAATTCATTAGCACTGTTTAAAAGCCCTGACAGCACAACAGGAAAAATGGCTGAAAATGCCAATTTTAATTGAAGGAGACACAACACATCTTTAAATTATTTGCAGCTAAATCAAAAATATAAACAATACAGGGAAAATATTGTACGATGGATGGCAATCGAGTGCGCTCTCCCTGCCAAATCCCACAACTATTGTAATTCCTTATTAGCAAAGCTGGAATTAATAAAGCTGTTGCTTTATACGGGTTTGAGGCTGCTGTAACCCCTCAGGACAAGAGACCGCATCCTTCCTTCCTCTGACACTGGGAGAGGATGCAGCAACCGAAAGGTCAAGGCGCTGTGCCAAGTCCACTGCAGCAAGGGGGTGGGAGGCCACGACTTCCCTGCATCCTGGGTCAGCCAGACCGGCCGTCTGAAGTGCCGCGAGGGCCCTTTCTCCCACCATGCGGGAGTGGTTTGGAGTTCATCTGGAAGTTTGACTCTCCGCGAGCAAGCCCAGCACTTCGGGGAGAGTCGTGACATGTTTTCCACCATGACTCCAACGTGCTCAGCAATGTTTTTGCCCTCTGCTTTATTTTCTTTGCACATTGGGTCAACGCTCAATGGGGTCATTGCAACATGGAGAGTGAGTCATGTGGGTTTGTGAGGGATCCTCTGAAACCAGGGCGGCAGATATAAGGATGAATAAGCAGTTAAAAGCAGCGGCAATCAGCACCATCACCCACACTCTCCAAACCTATTCAAACATGCTTTATGCACTCTTTTAACTTTCCCCTCTTTACCAAACACATTATGAACCCCTCTGCACTGCTTTGCTTTACAGCAAGGACTAGAAGCGAAGATGCTGGGACACAACAAGCTCAGGTGCTAGGACACCTCTTCTCCTGCGACGTGCAGGCCACAGAGGTTCAGAGAAATACCTGAATATCCTGGAGCCTCTTGAGTTCCCCCATTACAAAGGCAGGAAAAAGCACTTGGACCTGGAGTCCGTTTCTAAATCTTCACCTTCCCTTTGTCACAGGGTAAAAAGAGACTTGTCTATGTGTTTGACATCAGCCTAGACTCAAGAGAGCTTGCAAATAAATATTTGTTTTTTGTGCAAATATCTAGTTGGTCTAATAAAAGATATCATCTCTGCCACAAGTTCTGATTACTAGACCCAAGAGATGCATTTTAAGCTCTTTATCCTGAGCCCATAAAGGCCGCTTGAAGTTCCTTCCTATCCCATAACTCTCAAGTTCATTACCAATGGCATGATTCTGACACCAGAACAAAAACACGGCAAAAAAAAAGGGAAAGCCGTGTTTTTGCTCTGGTGTAAGAATCGTGCCATTGGTAATGACCTCAAGGGCTTATTAATTATTGACCTCAAGAGTTTATTAACAACTGGAGTTGCTAAGCTTGAGGTCAATAATCCACGCCGGAAAGCATGCTATTCCCTCCTTATTACCAGTCAATAGGTGCCAGAAAGCATGCTATTCCCTCCCTATTACCAGCTGGTAGGTGCCAGAAAGCATGCTATTCCCTCCTTATTACCAGTCAATAGGTGCCAGAAAGCATGCTATTCCCTCCCTATTACCAGCCAATAGATGCAATGCTGTACAGCAAGTGAGATAAATCAGCTTCCAGAGATTTGCAACCCAAAGGAGCAAATACAGCTAAGGAACACACTGCTCCTTGCAAATGTCGTGGTTTTTTTTGCAATAGGGAAGGCAGCGTGTCTGGTGGGAGACGGTTTCAGGCACGAGGCATTCTCCCTAGCATGGCCTTCCTCCCCAGCACGGCACCCACCTCTCTCCACCATAAATCTCAAGTAAATAAAGTAAAAATGCCGTAAGCAACAGAAAAGGGATTTGGGCATGTAAGATATTGGTTAAAAGACTCTGGGAGGGGAGGCAAGAAACAAAAGGCAAAGCAGGAAGAGTGCATTGTGTGTGTGTGTTCCTGCCGAATGCTTTCCATATGGCCGAGGATCATGGGTGTAGCACGACGCAGCTTTCCCAGGGAGAAGCCAGTGTTTATTCAGCAAAGGGTGTTGAGACCGGAGTGGAGCTCCAGAGCAGCAGTGAGTTCGATCTGCCCCCAGCACCCCTGACACGCAGGCACCTGCGAGGCTGGAAAATGCTCTCCGTTTTTCTTGCACGCTCAACCTCCCAGCTGCCAACTTGGAGCTCGGGGTGGCGACGACCCACCCGCCCCCTCCCTCCATTGCCACTAGATGACTCCCATCGTGGATCTCCCGGTGGCATCGCCAAGGCCGGGGAAGGCACGCAGAGCACGTGTTGGCATTTAGGTGCAACCCAGGCCCGGCCAACGCTTTCCTAGCACGAGCCTTGCTTACGGAAACATCGCGAAGAGGCAGCCGTGTCAAAACCGAGGGAGGAGGAAAAACATTTCATCATCTGCTTATTTTGGGGGCGTTATCGCACCTTTGGGCTTGGCTTCCTCTCTGGGGCATCCCAGCATCCAAGATGTTTTTGTTTTTTCATGGAGAGAAATCAGGAGCCCCAGAAAGATAGGGCTAGTAGGGATGAACCGGGACCCAAGTGAATGAACCGGGGGTAGGGAAACCTGCAGCGACCAACACGGAGGGGAGACCTGCGGACATTTCATCTTAGCAGCAGCCGCACATTTTGGCTGGTTTTGCAGAACGTTTTAGGTCAGAAATAGCAACCGCTCCGTGAAAACCCAGTTGTGCAATAATAAACCTACAGCAGTCCTCACGCCTCGACCAGCCAAGGGAGGAAAGAAAAAAAAACAAAAAAACCCCACTCTGCTACAAACGTATTTTGAAATAAGATCAGGGAAAATTAATTCCATAATTCACGGGACAGATTTGTGACGTGCGATTCTCGGGCAGGGTTGCTTGCTGCGATACATGAATCCTACGCTCCCAGCGCCGGCATGCTCTCTGGCTTGTATCTACCTGATTTTTATGAGGGTTGGTAACAGATTCTAAAAATATGCACAATTAACTGGGTTTTTTTTCTCCCAAAGGAGTCTATGGTTTAATTATGTTCTTAGTGAGAACTATTACAGCGCTAAGTACCTGAAGACTTCTAATTTACTAAACTATACGCCACTAAAACCCAACAGAAGGCTATTATACGCCGGAGTAAATGCTCTTCTCTGGGATTGTAAATGGACCTCCCTCCCCACCTCCTGTCCCTGAACTCCGATCAAGTATTTAATCCCACTGTTAGATACCCCTTTCTCAGGCCAGGGAGATCTCCAGGCTCTTCTGCATATACTACAGTATTATGCCTATGAAAACAAGTCCCACATTGTGTCCCCCTTATTGCAAAAAAGCACGGGGCTATGTATATTATTGTTTCGCCATGAGGACGGAGCCTCCTGTGTTACCAGCTGTGGTGCATTTACGTGCAAAGTCAAAGAGCACAGGGAAGCGGATGGCCTCAAAGATAAGTAATGAGGTGGAGACCAGAGACACAGCAAGGGGATTTTATTCAAATTCAGCAGACGATTTCCACCCCCTTGCCCCAAATAACTCTGCAGCCTTTCTGCAAGGCTCTTCATCACTGTGTTGCCTACTTGGGTGGACACCTTAAATAATTTTACAGAAGACGTTCTTACAAAACCCACCCAGGGTCATTCAGAAATATGTACTAGCCTGTTATAAATTGACCAAGAAAAGAGAAAACCCACTATTAGCCCCTCCTGTTTTATGGCAGTGACTAATACCAAAAAGAATCCGGCTATTCACTTTTTTGGGGGACTAAAGAGCATCCTTCCCAAGGATCGCATTGCTGCCACGTCCCAGGGCCATCCATGCTGGTCACTGTGCTTCTGCTATGAGGATCAGCACTGAAAAGAATAGCGAGGCTGGCATTGAAATTACTTTGTTCTGGTTTTAAAGTTAATAACGTGTCAAACTGCAAATGGGGAGAAACCAAGGGAAAGGCTGCAAGCAGCCTAAGTCCCCGTCTAATAAATGACTTAGATCCCGGTGAGACTCAGACTCCAAAAAGCCTCAGTGACCCCTGATCTGGGAAACAACTTCCTTTTAATGGGTTTAATGGGATGTAGATCAGCCCCTCTGTGCTACAGTCTCGGTCCTTCCATACTCACAACCGCGGCAGGGAAACAGCATTTGTTAGAGCCAATTTTCTTCAAAAATGGACCCCAAG